GCTCAGCAAAATCTGTGAGTTACATCCGTCAAAGAGACACGCTCCGAAAAAATAGGGCCGGGGTGACTGTCGAATTGGTGTCGGTTTGACAGTAAGTCGTCGCTCCAGGCCAACTCGGAAACTTGCATTCTAGATGGTGTCTTTGTGCTCCACGTTTTAATCTATATGAATTCCCGCTCTACAAGCTTCACTTGTACAGGAGAAATTGTATCGTGATCTCAAAACTGTGGGTTGGATCTCAGCTTGGTACGTCGGGATATGGTGATGTGTTTTACTTTACAGAGTGGTTCATATTGATTGGACGAATTGATCGATCTTAAATCACCAAATGTATGGTTTGGATCTCTACCACGTAGATGAGCTGGTTCCCTCCAAGTCTGTAAGTACTGTGAAATACACCAACCTTCAGCTTCAGGCAGGCATGAACCCCAGTGTCGTCATTGGACACACCCTCGTGCTATGTCAGGAGAAGTCTAATCCGTTTATGGTATGTCAAAACATGCCAGCAGTCACCAACTTCAATGAAGTTGCGCGGAACATAGATTCTTTGACCGTGGTATGTCAAACGCCGAAATGCGCGTAATCACCAAGAACAGCCCCGGCCAGTCTGGACAAATGAACTTCCATTGTTCCAAAGATGTACTTCTATATATTATGATGTCGAACCTTACAGATATTCAGCAACTCGCTTATCTTCAAAGGCTGGGAATGATATAGAAGTGTACTTCAATGTTCCATTGTGAATGCTGAAAGTTTATGATTTTGTCGTCCTCTCCAGCGAAAAGCCTCCACCGCCCTTGGTATGCACAGCCGTCAACTTACAGCCCCAGTTAGCGCATAGTTAGCGCGCGTTCCCTTCATTCGGTCACAAAGGAGCACCGAAAAGTAAGTTCTTGTCTTTCCATTGCACCGCTCGAGCTTCTTCCGGGCCTCGAGGACCACTGAGAAAGAAGACACGCGCATTGTGGAGACTGGTCGCGGCTGAGAACTTGTGGAATTCAGTTTGGTCAGCGCCTTGTGGGCCGCTAAATTTACTTCTCGGAGTTAGCATGACAGACAGCTGGAATGACTCTCGAGGCAAATCCCGCAGTACTCAATGCATGCCGTCAAGGATGCATCCTTATAATACCAACCGTTTTCTAAAACTTGCAGTCTTCCAACACTCTTTACGATAATGCACTCTGGGAACGACACAACTCTACTCGCTTCGAGGGACATGGATCTTTCATCGGAGGACCTAAAACTTGAAATTGAAATCACAATATATGTTCTTTTGGTATCTGCTGGGGTGAGTTTTGTTATCAAAAACCCGTCTATCGCTTACATAGTGCTCAGATGCTGGTATGGGATACTGTTTCCAATCTCGGGGACGACTACCGTATGCTAGTCAAAGCTAAATGGAAACTCAAGAAACCCATCATGGTCTACATTGCGTCAAGGTCAGAAAAAAGACGCCAGAAATTCTAAACTTACTAACATCATATCACAGAATATCCGCGCTTGGCTTACTAGCTTCTGCCCTTATCATGGGACCCCTAAGAGCCAACATGAATTGCCATATTGCTGGAATATTCTTGGAACTCTTCTTTTTCCTCGTCATTGCTACGACTACAGGCTTATTCGCCCTACGCGTAAGGGCAATCTTCAATGGCGAACCCCTAATCCAAGGCGCTTTCTTGGCTCTTTGGCTAGGTACAGCAGGAAGCTGCATACTAGTGTTCTTCGTACTCGACTCGTCATCCAACCCCGACAAGAGTGTTAGTAGCTGTATTCTGTTGGAAAAGAGATTTGCACTCGGTCTCATCATTGCAGTCATGGCCATGGTGCACGATACAGCCGTGTTTCTCGGTGTTTCATACAAGATGTACCAATTTCACCGTATCAAGGTGGGAGCTGGCAACACTAGGGCGGTCAAAATTCTAGCCCCCACGACAAAGGATCTTCCTCCTCTCATGATATCACTACTTCAAGACGGTCAAATGTACTACTTGTGCGTATACTCAGCTTATCTATCAGACATGGCATTCTAAAATGATGCAGAATCTCGCTTTTCTTTGAAATTGTAGTGGTCATACTTCTTATCGTCCCTGGACTCGGACCTTACTATCGATGTTTCATACTCCCAGCACACCTGGTGATCGTGAACTCTATAGCATGTCTTGTTTTTCGAAATGTTCAATTGGGCAGGTTCAAAAAAGAAGCTGTGTATAGCGACGCTAGCACTTCTTCGAGTCTCTTTTCAAGTGAGGCCACGCTTGATACAGTGGAGTTTGCGACCAATCCACGTAATACCGCTGCCTCCCGAGGGTTACCATCTCAACATCTTGGATGGGAGATGACAAACCAAAAAGCTGCAGACAGTGTTAACACAGATTTAACACAGTCGGGGCAAAGTCTCGTGTAATAATCTGAAAAATAAGTTATGTATATGTATCAGTACACAGTATCGTTAGTATTGTAGGACTTCTTGGACTCTCTTTGTAATACCAGAATCTCGTTCACATCGGTGAACCAAGGTATCCGCGTCTCCGATATAAAGCAGTGATATCCACTAGGTTCCGAGAAGGGAATGATCCATTCTCGAATTTGACAGCGCACATTTACTGGTATCAACCAAACTTTAAGCAGGCATCCTTTCTTATGGGGATCAAACATACCTTTGTTAACCCGAAGAATGTACCCCAGGATCTTCGGAAGGAGAACGAAGTTGACTCTCCAATTCAGGAAAGCTCTGACACAATGCTTCGTTCAGATAATCTCGGTATGACTGTATCGCGGCAATCTTCCCGTTCATAAACTGATTCTCCGTCGCAGCTCTCTCCAAACGCTCCCTAGTAAGCTGCATGGGGTTCTTGGCATTGTCAATGTCAATCAACAACTGACGAGGGATCATGGTCCGTGTTTGCTGGCTTAGTTGATCAACGGCTAACAGAGACTGGATGACCTCGTTGACCCGTAGTCCGACATTCTTCATGCCTACGGTTTGGCCGTCAGGACCCCGGTCTTTAGTGGAGTCATTGATCACTGTGGTGCCCATGTTGTACAACGCGTGAGCTAAGCCCAGTAGCTCCGCTTCCAAGTCTCCTTGGATTCCGCTTGGGGGAGGGGATTGGGAGTTTCTGGGTGAGTCTGGTGCTGGGGTAGGCGTTGAGATGCTCATGGCGTCGTGGGCGAATGCTCTAGATGTTGTGGTTTGGGCAAAGCACGAAAAAGTCACCTGATGCATCAACGCACTAAAAAGTTCGCACGGTGCAGAAGCCAAAGCTTCGTCTTCCTGTCAGTGTCAATTTCGTGCTCCTCCCCGCTCCCCTTCATCGTCATCCATAGTAGTCTGGACCCTATCATTAACGTTTCATCATCTACGCTTGTATTGGAAATGATTTAAGGACAACAGAGAAGCTGAATTTCGGTGAGTCCTTTCCCATCATGTTTGTGTTTCTGCGTACAATAACAGCGTCCCTAGTACCTCAACGAATGCACGCCTTGTTATTGCATACGCCGTTGCATTCCATCCTACCCGAACTCTTGTGAGTAGTATAAAATGCTGGATGTCTTTCTAGTTCTGCAGTTTTCCATCGATTCACCACCATGTTCCTCAGGTCAAAGCTTGAAGCAGCGTTCCGTTTTCTTGCGCAGAAAATACGCATCCATAATTACCCCACCGTTGAGTCTGAACCAAAGGTAGACTATGGAAATGGTGCATATTCCGCTGTACAGAATGCCTCTGTCGTCAATCCGGCGTCTCTGGAAGGTATGTCGAAGTTGTCTTTTGGTGAAACTTACATTCATTTCGTATTCCAGGCAAGGTAGCAGTCGTAACAGGCTCTTCCAAATCCATCGGCGCATCCATTGCAAAAGAACTAGCCAGCCAAGGAGCCAACGTCGTCGTCAACTACATCAACGATTTCAAATCCGCCGACGAACTGGTCCTCTTCATCCAATCCCTCGGTAAAGGAAAAGCCATCTCCGTCAAAGCCGACGCAGGCACCATCTCTGGCTCCAAAGCGCTCATAGACGAAACAATCCGTGCTTTTGGAAGACTCGATATACTCATTCTGAACGCGGGTATTATGGGTAGTAAAACGCTTGAGCAGATAGATGAGCCGTTTATTGATGCTCATTTTAATATGAACGTCAAGGGACCCTTGTTCCTCGTGAAAGCTGCGGTCGAGGCTTTGAGTACACGTAAGTGAACTCGCTTGTAAAGATTCCAGTATTCATTTCGTCTTTTTCTTATGAATAGCTGGTGGCAGAATCATTTTTTTCTCGACAAGCCTGACGACTGCCTCATGTACGTAGCTACAACGCGCTTCCTTGTGAATTGGCTGACTGACATCATAACCAGCGGTACTCCCAAATGCTTTGTGCTACGTCGCAAGCAAAGGTAAGTCATACCACCTACTGTTCGCATTCAAACCCTGAAATGCTTCCAACTGCAGCTGCAATCGAACAAGTATCCCGTGTCCTCGCTAAAGACCTCGGACCTCGAGGCATAACAGTAAACACCATCTCTCCAGGCCCAGTCGACACTCCACTCTTTCGTGAAGGCAAACCTCAGCATGTCATTGATTCGATCGCTGCACAGTGTCCTGGTAATCGATTGGGAACACCAGATGATATTGCGCCTGTTGTGGCGTTTTTGGCTAGTCCTGCTGCCCAGTGGGTTAATGGGCAGGTTATTAGGGTTAATGGGGTGAGTTTTCTCTTTTTGATGAGACGGAGCTAAACTAAATGTTTATTAGGGATTTGTCGTCTAAAGTACTTGTAACTTCTTAATGAGTCCATCTTCTATTGCTCGGTATACTATAGTGACTCGGAAAATAGTAGTATCCTATGTAATTTCTTCTTATGCCACTTACTCTAATGAACCACTGCCAAAAATTAATCAATCCCACTGTCGATAAATTATCGATGACCCTCGAGCCATGACGATATATCTAATAGGGAACTTTGACGTCCGCGTTCAAAAACATTAACAAAATCTGATATTATAGACACAGTGACGAGAGTGGGATTCGAACCCACGCCCTTTCGGACCAGATGGACTCTTCCTGATTCTGGCGCCTTAGACCGCTCGGCCATCTCGCCACATCAATGGGAAGGAGGAACAGTAGGAAGCCGAGTCTGGAGTGACCGGAAGAATCCGAATGAATTGTGACTGTGGAGGTGCTTCTCACGACTGATGCGGTTCCCACGACTAATAAGGAGAAAGATGTCTAATCACTATGATGTATCGACGTTATACAGCGCCTTGGCTGGTCGTATAAATACAGGTATGTCTGATCCAAATCCAAAACAAATCAAATCTACCCAGCATTCATCTCATACTCACTCTCATATTCGCTCTTCACCTTCTCGCTGTACGAATCCCAATGGCCGACAAGCAGACTACCAACGTTGACGCTGTTTCCAACAACGGACACGGCCACGACTATGCTGCTGCCAACAAGGAGTTTTTTGACAAATCTCCAGAGTACTCCGAGTCGTATGACACGAACCCTGTCTACATTGACACTACAAGCAAGTGCGTAGACGCGTTTTATGGACGTAACTATTTCTGAATGATTTCTGGACAGAATCGCTACCGAAATGCTCAAAACCCATCCTTTCAACAAGGAAACGACGCGTATGATGGATTTTGCTTGCGGAACCGGTAAGTGATTCAACGTGTTTTTGATTCGTTTCAATCCACTCATGCTGTTTTGAAACCAGGCCTCGTCTCCCGCGTCTTTATTCCCCACGTCAAATCTCTCGTCGGCGTCGATATCAGTCAAGGCATGCTGACCCAGTTCGACAAACGCGCCAACGAGCTCGAGGCGAACGACAAAGCCAAAGTCCGCTCGGTTTGCATCGAGATCAAGGGAGAAGAAGGAGAATTGGAGAAATTGGGCGGTGAAAAGTTTGGCGTTATCACTGTGAGTTTGCCAGTCTTGTATACTCTCCACGCAAGCTCTGGGTTTACCTGGACGCGCTTTGACGCGCATGTACCCATCATACGCTCTCACATTCCTACCACTTGTTACTAACCTCATCCAATATACAGTGCTCAATGGCATTCCACCACCTCTCCGATCTCCCCAAGATGACACGTATCCTCGTCTCGTTCCTCAACCCTGGAGGAGCCTTGATGATTGCTGATGGTCAACACGGAGATAGTATACTTGGGCACGCACATGGACACGGGCACGACCACGGACATGGACACCATCAACAAGAACATGGACACGGACATCACCAACATGAACACGGACACGGACAACACGATCACGATCACGATCCCGCTGAACCCATCAAACCCGACTCGGAAGCCTTTGAACAAGTCGTCGCGCATCAACATGGGTTCACGGATGGAGCGGTCAAGGAATTATTTGAGGGCGCTGGGTTGGGTGAGTCCCTCTGGTTCCTTTTCATCCTTCTAGTAATAACCTCTTTATTTCTCTTTCAGTCGACTTTACTATTCGTAAAGAAGTCGCTCGTGCTAAACTCTGGAAGGACTCGGATACGGAGATTGTGGTGTTTGTTGCAAAGGGAGTCAAGCCTCTTGATGCTTGAGTACTCAAATATTTATGTAGCTTCGACGCTTGTTCAGACGTATGGAGGGTTGAAGTCGTGTATTCTCGAATTCGTTGTTTACTTGATCTTGGTTAACCTCTGTTACTTGATTTGTTGTGAATTACTGGATCAGAATGTTAATCTGTTCTTTATTATTCGTTGTCACCGTGGCATGCTTTTGAACAAAAACTAATAATACTTAAGTAAATAAATATACGTATTATACATATTAAGGACAAGTAGGTTTAGGCGACAATTATATAGTATACTAGTGGTACAAACAAGTGTGGTCGGTTTGTGTGGACTGACCATCTCTTCCGAATGTTCTGGACTTTAGTGCCTATAAACCAGCCGCGTTTTATTCTCTACCTCTGATAAACCCGTACCTCTTCATTACCCTTTTTCTCATTACCTTGCTCGTGTGTATTCACATATTCTGGGTCGTCGCGATGCCATTCGGGCTGCTCCGATCTATTGATACCAATCACCCTTTCTTCTCTATCGTTCGAAGCGAGACTGGACACTGATTCATCGAATGTTCCCGTTCTAGAGTACGAGATGCGTGGTGACCGACTGTCTTTTAAGAAGAGTAGTGTTTTAAAATCGCCAAAGCTGCGGCCGGCAAGGTATAATAGAATCTAAGCAAAGATTAAAATTATCATTTTTATTATTAGCCAATGACTTGCCAGTTCTATAATTTGTTCAATCAACAACGCCAGAGCATAAGGAGGTAACCTGATGAATGAAAATAGTCAATAAGTATAATTGTCTTCAGATTTGTACCGACACGTACACCCATGAATGCGTAACAAGCGACCAAATCCCAGAACCCCCAAGATCAAAATCAGCAGTCAAAACATGTTTTGAAGCATTGATATCAATGGCAGTGACAGCAATTGTAGCCGAGCCCAATATCAATCTACTTATGACTTGGCCCCATTCATATTTGTCTAAAAGTAAAAAAAAAAAATGTATGATCAGAATCTGATCAACTGACAGACTCAAATAGCAGCTAACCTCGAGGCCACTGTCTGATTAAACCAACGAACCCAAGCGTGAGAAGGAATGCACCTCCAGCAGCGTAAAACCACATCGCAGGAGTAGAGTTTTGTACAATGACCATTTGGACTGTATCATTGAAGGTACTGTTGTTGATCGCTGTAAAATTCCCGGGGTCTTCGTATAGGAAAAATTCTAGTTGAGCAAAGACTAGATCTGATGATTGTTGTAGCATGTTTAAATTCTACGGGCCATCAGCTTCGTCCCAAGCAAAAGTCGAGTATAGACACATACATCTAGCACTGTTTCAATAATCAAAACATCCATTTGTAAAAGAACGTTAAAAGGCAGCGCATAATTCGGTGTTGTTCCTTGCGAAGCATTGTGAATAGCATCGTTAATAAAGGGTAATAGTCCCTGTAACGAAATAGCTTGGTTCTGAAGTCGAGTCTCGATATCCGAGAATGCATAATCCGATTCATTCAGAGGAACTGAGAATCCTTTCAACTGCATTATAGATTTGGAGTCCCGTAGGAACTCGAGTGGGATGTCTAGAGCGCTGCCCAGATTCTGGTTTTATGACATTTAAAATAAACGTAAAGGATGGAACACAGAAAAAACTCACTCCGGCTTTCAACATGACTGCAATACATTGAAGGGTGACGATAACGGCGGACAGATGAAAAAATTGAAAGAAGAATCCGCTGATAATACGATTGTTACTCATTCCATGAGTCGCTGGCGCACTAGTTCCAAAGTATAACGAGAACATTAAAAGAAAAATGACCACCGCGCAACATATAACACCCAGACTTAACCAGGTGAATCTAAAGTTTCCAACGACATACTGGAATCCATTCGTAATCCTGTCCAATCCATTTCCGAGGATTATAACAAAAGCTGTGCAAGTACGAGCCAGAACCAGCTTGGCATCGTAATTAACACGACCATTGCAGAGACGGGAGATGGCAATAAAATGTGCTGTGACTTCGATAAAGAGGGGGATGTACCAGAAGAAAAATTTTACAATCTGGTCACCTCTGCTCGGATGGTTTCCAATGATGGCAAAGGCGATGAAATAACACAGGGAGGATATGAGGAGAGAACCGATGTGCACCAAAAGTGCAGTGTTCTTGGATATCCGTCGGTCGACCCGGAGTGCGTGGCCAAATGCTGGGAAAGGGATTTTGGATGATGAGAGTCATTTGAAAAGGCAAGATATATACTTACCGACGAGATACTGAATCAAAAGAAAAACTCTACTAATCGCCATAGTCATAGAAATCCCTCTCGCATTGAGAGTAGGTAGTCGCTGCGCCCGGAATCTTTCCACACTGATCCACGGCCTCTGAGACTGTCCAAACGCACCAACTTCCAAGTTGGCAATCCGCTGATTCATCTGTGAGTCGTCCGCAATGTCATTAGTGACATCAAAGTCCTTTGTGAACGTTGCAAGTCCGCAGAACACAAAGACTTGAAGAAACACGAAGAGCCGATGTAACCAGTCCGCTTGACGAAAACGAACATTGTATGCGACTTGACTTGCCCATATCCACCACACGAGAGCAAAAAACCCGAGATAGGATGCCACGCTCTGTTGTGTGGGTTAGTACAGTTGAATTTAAGCTCTGGTTGTATCTTACAGAGGCTTCTAGGATAGGCGTTCCATCTCTGTACAAGTCATCATTAGAATCTCAATCATGAATTTGGCGATAATTTTACTCACGTTAGGCTGGCAAAGGTTGTTGTCATGGCCAGCTCTAGCAGCTATCGACAAATGAGGGAGATCAAACAAAGAAGTGAAGCTCACGGCTCACCAAATCGCTCCATGGTACATTAGACACGGAAACCTTGAATTCACTAGGTCTCTGCAAAAAAGAGTTGGTTCTGAACAGAAATTCAAAGTTCTTGTCAACAGATAACATACCTCTTTTGAATCATACGTAGAATCAATGAAGGGAGAACGTGTCAATGGGACAATGTTCTTTCTTCTTTGTCTGACTAAGGAGTCCCTGTGGAGATCACTATAAGCCCATTCCCCGTAAATCTGTAGTTTCTACATACCTTGGATCCGTAGAAGGATCTCCGAAGGTGGAGGCCCGGTTGCCTTTAGAAGCCCTGTGAGGCTCCATTTAGTCACAACAGTGTTTCTAAAAGGTCTGCCAGTAGTGTAAGTGGTAAATCGGAAACTCCGAAGGTTGAGTGGAGGTATATGTAGGTATGATAAGCGTCTAAATCTTAATTAGTGACGAATAGGTGGAACCACCCACAGTTCTAAATTACATTCCGAACTCCATCAAAATACAGCCCGGAATACGACATATAACCATGATTAAGATGTTTCAGTGGGCAGAATTGATCCTTGAGCGCTAAATTGGAGATTAGCGTGCTACAAGTATTTGTTTTTTTGAATAATAGCCCCGTAAAATGGGAGCTCGTCATGTCTATGAATGATTTTGCGGTGCTTCACTCCACAGGAGGCTCTGTCGCACAAAGTTACTTGACGTCTATGGTGACGACCAACTCAATCAATTGAA